GAAGAGACACACGGACCTAGAGGAAGTCAAATGCCTCTTACTGTATATGTTGTCTCATCTAAGCCAAACAAATCTGCATGCATATTAGTGCAAGTGCAGAGGAGAGAAATCCCACAACGTTTCAGGCAAGGGGTTGCAAATTTAAATTGTTTGTGTCATACTCATATTACACTTTTAAGATTTGTAAAATGTTATGAATAATCCTTCTCAGAGCCACGTAGGGTCAGGCAGGTTGTGCTCTGCAGACCATTGACTGTTTCAATTAGTAGAATTGAACTGGTGTTTCTACACAACATATATGTAATGTTTAATCACAAACAGAAAAGTTGTAAGAATAGTACAGATAACGTTTTTCCTTTTAAAAAATTTTTATTTCTAGAGACAGGGTCTTGCTCTGTTGCCCAGGCTGGAGAGCAGTGGTGCTATTAAAGTTCACTGTAGCCTTAAACTCCTGGGGCACCTGTCCAGTTGGGGCTGTAACCACCCGGAGAAAGAGGTGCCTTTTAAATTTCAAACAGAGAAGTTGTATGGCCTAACCGCCGCCCTGAATGTATTATCTTTATTGCTTTAACTTTGTGAACAACAAAACAAACTGTATGACTTTTATCTGTTCCCTTCTAATTGCACTCCCTCAACTCCATAAAGTCATGTTTTTCATCTACAAATTTTCTTACTCTACAAGGCGTCAGGAACTTCATCCTTGCAATTTTGGAAGACTAAAAAATGAATTCAATATGATACTTGCAGAGTAAGTATACAAAGAATGAGGGGACTATGAAAGAAGGGACAGGGTATTGGATAAATTTCTAAATGGCAATTACTTTTAAATTTGCCTGAAACATTTTGTATAAGGCGGAAATGTAGAACTGGTGAAGTTGGGTTCTCATATCATTATTTGGATAAAGTTCGATTCACTATTCAATATTGCCATAGTGAAGAGATATAATTCTGTATTCATTACAAAATGTTTAACTAACATATTTTTCCTTCTAGCTCCATAGAGAAAATTAACATCTGTTGCATAAGTCTCTGGAGGAAAAAATATATATATTCTGAAATGCTGACTTTATCCTACTAAAGCAAGTTCATGCTGGACTTAGAGAGGTTTGTGGTAAGAATTAGTGTTGGTATAAAATCCCTATTCCTTTTTCAAGTGGGATTTTGCATAAAAAGAAAATGAGGCCAGGTGCGCAGTGGCTCATGCCTGTAATCCCAGCACTTTGGGAGGCTGAGACAGGCAGATCACAAGGTCAGGAGTTCAAGACCAGCCTGGCCAGCATGATGAAACCCCGTCTCTACTAAAAATACAAAAAGTTAGGTGGGCATGGTGGTACACACCTGTAGTCTCACCTACTCAGGAGGCTGAGGCAGGAGAATTGCTTGAACCCAGCAGGCAGAGGTTGCAATGAGCTGAGATAGCACCACTGCACTCCAGCCTGGGTGACAGAACGAGACTCTGTCTTAAAAAAAAAAAAGAAAAAAGAAAAAAGAAAATGAGAGAATGCATTCTCACTGACTGTGCTGTTTAAAAAGACAAGTAAGCAAATTACTAATTTACTAATTACATAATTATTAAAGAGCTTAAACTTTGGATACTAAATCAGTTAAGTCAAAATACAGTGTTGAAAAATTATAAATCATTAACTGGCTCTGTATGTAGTCTACTCTACAATGGGAGTAGTTGAAATTCCTTTTAACATTTCATTATTTTTAAGTGTTGCTTTTAAAAATAGTTCAAATAGCTACAGTGTGTCTTTTATTTAGATTTTAAATGAATTATTGCTTTATTATTAAATATTTCAAACTATACAGAGAATATAGAGAATGCTATAATAAACACATGATGCCTACCATTTAGCCATAACAAATATTTTCATTTTGCCATATTCAATTCAGTTTTTTTGTTAAAGAAATGAAATTGGCCAGGCGCGGTGGCTCATGCCTGTAATCACAGCACTTTGGGAGGTGGAGGCAGGTGGATCACCTGAGGTCAGGAGTTCGAGACCAGCCTGGCCAACATAGTGAAACCCTGAAACCCTGTCTCTATTAAGAGTGCAAAAGACTAGCTGGGCATGGTGGCACGTGCCTGTAGTCCCAGCTACTTCAGAGGCTGAGGCAGGAGAATCTCTTGGACCCAGGAAGCAGAGGTTGCAGTGAGCCAAGATTGTGCCACTGCACTCCAGCCTGGGTGACAGAGCAAGATTCTTTCTCAAAAATAAATAAATAAATAAATAAAATTTAAATTTACCAATGGGGCTATTGTCCTCTGTGTGGCCTTCTCCAATCCCATTCTGTCCCTCCTGTCCAGTGGGGCCCAGTACTCTGAAGTGGGGGTCCTTCCATCCCAGGCATATTTTTACACTTTTACCCCCATGTACATAACCATAGACAATACGATTTTATAACTTGGGGTTTTTTCACTTAACATTGTATTCCTGATATTTTTTCATATCAATATACATACTTCTAATTCATTTGTGGTGATTACTATAGGTTTATCAGTCGTTTCTTTGTCCATTCTACTACTGAGGGAAGTTTTAGTTGTCTGTGATTTTTCACCGTTACAAACAAGACTGTGATCATGCTTATTTCCTGGAGCACAGGCCTGAGAGTATTTCCAAGAGACCTATCGGTCCCATTTGCTTTTCCGTAAAATCTGCTTAAGTGCAATAGCTACATAGGACTAGTTCGCAACTGGAAGCTGCTGAGAGATTCTTGCCTTCATAAAGGAAAAGGTAATGGTGGGGGTCTCTCTGGGTGAGTAGGCCTTACTAAATGCAACAGCTCTTCCAGAAATCCACCTCGCTCAGGAACAGCACGTACCTTCTATCCCTATCCTCCTCCACATAGAGTAAGTAGCACCAGGGCACACAAGCTCCCATCCTCGTGGTACCTCTGCAGGTGCTTACAAAATCTGGGACAGGCCAATGGAGACTAGAAATGAGTGCACTGGGAAACGAGGTTTAAAGGTGAACGTGACAACTTTGGTGGGCTGATTAATGAACCCCAAAAGATGTCCACACCCTAATCCTTGACACCTGTGAATATGTTTCCTCACACGGCAGAAGGGACTTTGCAGGTACAATCAAGTCAAGGACTTAGAGATGAGGCGATTATCCTGCATTATGGGGGAGGGGGCAGTCCAATGTAATCTTAAGGTTCTTTATAAGAGGGAATCAGGGAGTCAGGTCAGAGAGAGACTGCAAGATACTGTGCTGCTGCCTTCACAGATGGAGGAAGGCACCACAAGCCAAGGAATGCAGACGCCTCTAGAAGCTGGGGAGAGCAGAGAAAGGGTCTGGGTACAGTGGCTCACACCTGTAATCCCAGCACTTTGGGAAGCCGAGGCAGGAGGATCACTTGAGCCCAGGAGTTCAAGACAAGCCTGGGCAACACAGCGAGAGCCTGTCTCAAAAAAAAAAAAAAAAGGTGGAAAGAGTGTCCAGGAGGAACAGAGCCTTCCCAGCTCCTTGATGTGAGCCCGGTGAGACCCATTTTTGACTTCTGATCTCTAGAACTGTGAGGTAATAAATGTGCACTGTTTTGAGGCACTGGTGTGTGGTGATTTTTTACAGCAGTAGTAGACACTACAACAGTGAAGGTGGGTGAGAATCCACCTCGTGGGTCATCACAGAAGAGGAGGCAGCATTCCTCACCAATCCTGCACACGGAGCTGGCTAATGTGAAGCAAAAGGCCGAGGAAACACAGACAGGCCTGAGGAGGACTGCCCTTCCGAACTGAAGCTGTCAGCATGGCGAGTGCCCAGGCATGCCTCTCTTTGGGGTTCAGCAACCCATTCCTGCAAGTGGTGACTGCTGACTTTAGGATATGTGGGTATAGCTTGTGGAAGTAAGTCAACGTGTTGTTCGTGTTACATTTCTCTTCTAGGACTTGGAGGAAATTGAAATTCTCTCTGGCATCACGTGGCTCCGTAGATAACGCCTAACTTAATTTGGTCACACTTGTTTCCTTATCTTGGAACCTAAGGCACTGTTCTCTGTCTCCCTGTTCTGCCTCTGAGGATGGCTCCCTAACCGCTACCCTGGTGGGATCCTGCACTCCAGCCCAAGTGGGTCCGTCCAGACCTTGCTGTGGGCTGGCCTGTCTGCCTGGTTGGACCCCTGCCCACACCGTCTCACTCAAATTGGACCTCTGATGTTGACCCTGGCCTGTTCCATGAACGTGTCTATGCTTTATGATAAATTTGGATCTTGCCACCCCACTCCCTGACCTTATTTTGGTTGTCTGCCAGCTTGGCCTGACCTGTCAGACCTAGACCTTGACCTGGTTGTCTTTTTTTAACTGTGGGACTTGTTTTACAAAGCAGCTTTCCTAGCTAGTTCCTCTGCCTGCTTAATTAAGCATTTGCACATTAAAATCTTTCTCTTCTGCCACCCGAATAGAAGAGTAGCCACGATGAATCAACAGCCTACTGCAATGCCAGGAACCGTGCTGGCAGCTCCACACAAATATCCCATTGGTTTCTAAAATCCCCAGGTGTGTCACAGTTCAGAATATCAGTGTCCCTGGCCACCTCTTCTGGAAAACATAGCTTCTTTCTTTCAAAGAAGTGCTCCCTATCACCCCGTTATGACCATGCTGATATTATGGACGTGGCCATCATAATTCACCGCTCTCCTGGCCACAATAGTGGTATGTGAGCTGAGCTGATGAGAACGCTCCACCCGCCCCTCCACCCTAGTGACTGGCCCAAGATTGGGCATGTGACCTCAAGTCAGGAGCTAATCATAGCTCTTCTCCAGAATGTTTGTTTTGAGATGGAGTCTCGCTCCGTCACCCAGCCTGGAGGAGCACAGTGGCACGATCTCAGCTCACTGCAACCTCCGCCTCCAGGATCTAGCAACTCTCCCACCTCAGCCTCCTGAGTAGCCAAGACTACAGGTGCATGCCACCATGCCCAGCTAATTTTTTTTTGGTTTTTTTGTTTGTTTGTTTGTTTTGTTTTGTTTTGTTTTTAGTGGAGGCTGGTCTCTAACTCCTGACCTCAAAAGATCCACCTACTTTGGCCTCCCAAAGTGCTAGGATTACAGGCATGAGCCACTGCTCCCGGCCCAGAATGTTTTTAATAGGAACTGGAAGAGGAGCCCTTTCCCAGGAAGGAGGTAGGGGGGCCAGCTGAGAGGTGGGAGCCAGGTCTCTGTCTCATGGGGAAAGTTGGTTGAAGAGAATTAAATAGACCCAAGGACGCAAGAGTCATGCAGGAAAAATAAACTTTGACAGCATTTAAGTCCCTGGAGAAGCACAAAGTCAGTGGTTCCAAGTGTGGGCTCAGAGTCAGACTGCCTAGGTAACCTTATGAAACTGAACCTCTTTGAACCTGAGTTTCCTCTTCTGTAAAAGATAATAATAGTACTTAACTCATGGAGCTGTTGTGAGGACTGAATGAATTAATGCATGAGAAGCATGCTGAACAGTGCCTGGCACATGGTTGTCTCACAATAAATATTAACTATTATCAGCTGCTCCAGTTGTCCAGGAGGCTCTCTCTACCCTCGTCCTGCCTTTGATTTGGTGACTGGAGCAAATGGTTTTCTCTTTTTGCCTAAGCTGGTGTTTGGTCTCATTACTTGCAACCTAAGAACGGAGGAATGTAGGATTCCCCTAAATTCATCAATTTCATGAGTGGCTCTATGAAAAAAAAAAAAATGTCCACAGGTAAGTTTGGGAAACTCTTGGATATTCATTGCATTTTAATTTATATGTTGTTTCTTCTTTGAGAGTCACATTGTATTTTAATATCTTAAAGCCTCCGAGTGACCCTATGGTTAAAAACCCAGTTGAACTTCATTTATTTAACTGTGATTTCCTTTTTTCTTGTGATCTTTTTTTTCCTATTCTGCAAAACTAACATTTTACAGAACACGCTTTGGTGTGTTGAACAGAAAATCCAGATAAGAAAACTGAAGAATCTGCTGAGCCTCAAGCTGAACCCAGAGCTGTTTAATCTAAAATGGAGGCTCTTTGACAGTTCTGCACACATGTACGTGTACACACCACAATGACCATTAATCGTTGGAAAGGCAAGTGCTAGACACACTGATTTGGAGTTGGCTTTTCCACCGCAAGTGCTTTTTCCCCAGAGAGCACAGTTTTAAGTACTTGCCTTTGCAGATTCACATATAGTGTGCAAAATTAAGTAGCAGAATTAAGGTTTTTTAAGAACAATTTGTCCCTGGTGGTCTAGTGGTTAGGAAAAATAAACATTTAAATATAAAAAGAAAGAATTTTGCAGAAAAATTATCAGACATGCAGTGGCCTCTTTGGTGAAAAATGACAAGAAAGATAGCTTTTCTTTTCTGGCAGGAAGAGCCCATTGTGGAAGAAACGCTAGCTTGGGAGATTTTTTCATTCTAATTCACACTGTCAGACACCTTTGTCTTCATTTGTAAGATGGCCAAAGTATTGCACAAGTCACTCACATGTCCCTCTGAGCCAAATTCTAACTTCTGATTATCCAAAGCTATGGGCCTTGAACTGTAGGTCAAATATGGGCGAGGGATATCATTATTACTACTATTGTTATTATCGTTGTTGATTGATTGATATTGATTGTTGGGACCTTAGAATTGTCAGAGGGGACTTTTAGACCAAGGGAAAAACCTAGTTCCCTCTGGCAGCCTTACAATGTAAATTAGACTGAGTTGTATAACAGTTTTAGGTATCTGATATGGGACTTGCCAAATTTCATGGCTTCAGACACACGGAATGCACATCTCTGTTCCAGGGAGGCTAAATATTTCTCCAAATCAGTAGATAAAACAAACTCCCTGACCTCAACTTACTTCCTGGCGCCTGGAGTCCTGAGTAGCTGATGAAGAGTGTCTGTCTGCTATCAAGTGACAGAACACATGCAGACTGGCTCCTACACCCAGGACCATGTGGTACCTGATCCTGTCTCCATCTTCCGAGTTAAGATTTTGGCCACAACCTGAAGATCTAAGTCCAGAGGGCAGTGGGCCAGGGTTAGATACCATGAAATGCCATTGAATCAGCCTTGAAGGGCAACTGTGGCTTCTTAGTGCATGAGGCAATGTGCTGCAGCCAGAGGCCGGTGACAGCAATGATCACAGACCCGGGGCAAATCACATCGCTAACGTCATCTCTGAAATGGAGAGGTGGCTACATCACTGACTTAAGTAAATACTATGCACAGACTTGAGACCTTACACAGCCGACCAAGCAGGGAGCTAATCCATCAAAGGGAACCTGAAGCTTCTGACCTATGAGCTTGTTGAGTGGACGCCTTCACTATTAGACAGTGGCATCTACTGACTGTTACACACTGCCACCTTGCAGATCAAATAAGAATTAGCTAAGGCTAAGGACTCAAAGAATTGTTAAATGGGAGATGGGAGGATTCCCATGGATAGTTTAGTAAGACCTGGAATAAATTAATAGCAGAAGAGAGATCGCTGAGATGGGAATGTGTTTTAGAGTGTTATACACACTTAATAAAAATTAATTTCATAACATCACAAAGTCCTCTGAGTCTTTCCAGGAGAGGTACTGTAGATTCATTAGGCATCGTGTTAGAACTTTTCTGTAATCATCAGGCCATTCTGATGCATTCACCTTGAGGTTTTCCCTTTCCAGGCAATCCCATCTGCCTTTTAGACTCATGTGCTTGCACTGATGTAAACACGCATGCTTTTCTCCCCTTTCTCTCCTCTCCTTGCCTCATCCCCCTGCAAATAAGCCACGTTTAATCAAGAAGTACGGGTTTCCATTTCTTCTTTTTATTGAGTCATCTAAATAACTTGTTTTCTGGCTATTTCCTGCAGAAGCCAGGAATCCACACAGCCCTATTTTCCCCTTCACGTACCATTTCATATAGCTGTAAACCACCCAGCAGCTCAGGTCCTGCAAGACACACAACCCCAATTCATTCCTAACTGCACAGCCGCCTTTCTCCCTACCAAAGCCACTAAGCTAAACCACCTGCTGTGGGCTCCTTCAAGGAACTGTTCATCCCAGCAGAGGTCCTTTCCATAAACCCTCCGAAACCAGGAGAGCATCGCCTGCCTCTCCTGTATCCCTCAGGACCTCTCTGGTGCACCATGCTCACAGGTGGACCTTGACAAATGCTTACTGTGTGAAAGAATGATGCAGGCGCTTGTTTTAATTCCAGGACATCAGTGAATTGAGGAGATTTTGCTCACAGCTATCATCAGGCTCAAATACACCAAACTGGAAGCATGCAAATTAAACACTCAAAGAAAAACTGAGTCTGTCTTCCTGGCTTGTCCTGTCATCATTGTTCTCATGCTGTATATGAAAAGACGTATCATATATCTCCAAGATTAACGTCCGCTCCCTGTAAAACAATGTTATCTGTTCGATCAGGCTTTTCTCCAGCTGTCTTCCTGGTCTATCCTTTCGTATCCTATCCCCTCCCCGTTCGCTGCCTTTCCCGCACCTTCCCATCGCCTCGGCCTTGCCCAGGGTCTCCTCTATCGTGTTTCTGTAGTTTTCTCTTTCTGAGAGTGGATCAAGGGAATGTCCAAAGCGGATCCTGAGCACTGAGAGTCAGGAACTGGACTGGAAACCAGCATTGTCTCCCCAGACCTCAGACTGAGGACCTGCTATAAAGAGTGACAGCAGGAGGCTGAGAATTATAGCTTCAGTGGCTTTAGAAAAATTAATGAGATCTTGGTTTTTTTGGCCAAGTTTCTCTTTCATTAACTAAAACATTTTCTATCGATTTTTATTTGGTAGATAAAAATGCAAGTATGAAAACATAATTTTTAAAAATGCCACAAAGATTGAAAGTTCATAATGTCTAAATGTAAATATTTTTAGATCTTTCGTTATTGCTTGCAACTATGGGTGAGCCTATAGGGGTTTTAGGATAGATTTTCATGTTGTCTAATGTTGTTTAGTACTTAGGAAAAATAGGTTATCCAAGCAAGTTCTGATGTTTTTCAGTCTCATCCCTTTTGATGTCATTATTGGAGGCACTGGATGTCTGTGAAGTGGGAAGAATGATGCAAGAGGGAATAGGCTGATGTTGAAAGGAAAGATCACCTAGGGCCCGGATAAAAAGGTGACATGTGAACTACATATTCCACAAACAGGGCCTAACACGCTTAATCTCAAACGCTGGAAAAACACACGTGACTCACTCCTTAGCCACATCCATGGTACAAGGTAGTGATGACTCCTGGGAAGGGGCTGTCCTGTTACTAAATGTCTAGGGACATTCTTTCTGGCTGCAGTTCTGCCTCCATGGCCAACTGTGGGCTCCTCTGAGAGGGGTGGGTGGTCACAGCTGGTGTAACACGCTAGAGGGAGAATGGGAACTAGGGAGAGGGAGCTCTGGCATTCTCTTGGGCTGGAACTTGGCAGGTTCAGGTATCTTCAACATCACAGGGACTGGGGAGTGAGGAAGCGCTCGCCAGCGAACCAGAAACAGGGAAGATTTGTCCAAAGGCTACTGTGCTCCCTGGTGCCATCAGTAAGTCTCTGCCTTTGGTCATTCCATAGCTTCGAGGAAAGCCTCCCCTGAATAACCGAGCCTTGGCTGGACTGGGCTCTAGGGCATGAGTGAAAGACCCATGCTTCTCTGTTTAAGCCAGCTTTATTCAAAAGGAAATGATAGCCCCACTCCCATCCCTACTCCACCCAGGGTGGAGGCAGCGGCAGGACTACACATGAGATCCTCCACAGGACAGCGAGCCTTGGGGGACCAACACCAGGGCTATGAGAGTCAGCTGCTCCTCCCGCCAGGGCATTGTCTTACTAACATGAACTTTGAAGGACCTGGTTATTATTTTTTATAACATTGGGGGTGGGAGATGATTACTTACAGACACTACTGTTTCCTAAATGAAATCTAGTAAGTAATATGTAAATAAAAGAAGGCAATTCCCCAGCCCCTGGCGTAATCTTGCCCTGTGCTGAGGTGCTCATTAAAACTTAAAATATCCATGGACTGATGGAAGTTCTCCCAAAGACTGACCACCCAGGGGAAAAAGGCATCTCAACAAACTCAGTGATGGTTTGAACAAAATAGAGCACGTGCTCCAAGGTTCCAAGAGGGAAGAGACCCCACGATGGAAAGATGGTAGCATGCTTGTGGTTTAACAGCATTTCCTTTCCCAGAAAACATCAGCATTCTGAAAGAGAATTTAATTCTTGTATCTGTAAACACCTCAGTGGTATCCTACAGTATTACTCAATCAGCTACATATTCCGTTTTTCATCCTATGACTTATTTTTTATGTTTTGTTTTTGTTTTTATTTTTGTTTTGAGATGGAGTCTCGCTCCATCACCCAGGCTGGAGTGCAATGGTGCTATCTCTGCTCACTGCAACCTCCACCTCCCAGGTTCAAGCGATTCTCCTGCCTCAGCCTCCTGAGCAGCTGGGACTACAGTGCCACCATGCCCGGCTAATGTTGGTCAGGCTGATCTCAAACTCCTGACCTCAGGTGCTGTAATGACTTTTAAATGCTTAGTATGTTGCATGGAACACACTAGGCCCTCAGTCGTCGTCAGATTGAATCAAACTTTAAAAGAAAATATCAACAATGGTATTTCTGAATTTCAAACTTGCTGAGGGCAAGAATGAGAATGTTGAACTTATCCCCATATGCCAACCCAAGAGAATTGAATAGAGAGTATGCAATAGCCACTCAAGAAATGTTGAAATTAATTTCATGCAACGAAATTTAACAAAACAAAAACCCTGCCCTTTTAAACATCTGGTGGAAACCGCAAGTTTCTTTCTCATTTGGATGTAGTTTGCCCATGCTTGCCTCAGTTTGACTCCAGTTTCTCAAGCTGTTGTGTTTTTTTTTCTTTATTTTTTATACAACATTCCTGACATTGTGTCAAAAATACATTACCAAATAGCAGCCTTAAGACAATCAGTAGAACATCTGAATCATAAGTAAGATATAATTCTGGAATTTGAGATGCAAATAGGCCACGTTTTCTTGAAGTATCTGAACCAAAAACACAGAGTAAGTATAATAAAACAACACAAGGCCAGGTGCGGTGGTTCACACCTGTAATCCCAGCACTTTGGGAGGCTGAGGCGGACAGATCACCTGAGGCTAGGTGAGGAGTCTGAGGCCAGCCTGGCCAACATGGTGAAACTCCATCTCTACTAAAAATACAAAAATTAGCCAGGCATGGTGGCAGGCGCCCCTAATCCCAGCTACTCTGGAGGCTGAGGCAGGAGAATTGCTTGAACTCGGGAAGCAGAGGTTGCAGTGAGCCAAGATTGTGCCATTGCACCCCAGCCTGAATGACAGAGTGGGACCCTGTCTCAAAATAATAATAGTAATAACAATACTAAAAACACAGGAGATTACAGAGACTTGAACTATAAGATATGGTGAATGTTTGCAGTGTTGAATTAATAGAACAGATACTTTCTGTACAATGATCTTTACTTCTGATAAGTTGAAAACTGTTTCTAGCCTTTATAGGTCAGAACAATGGATTGGATATGTAATAACTTTTATCACCTAACAAAAGGATAGTTATTCATTAAGATAATCAACATCTCTGTAACTAACTAAATCATTTTCCCCTCAACCATTCCTTTTATTGAAATGTTTGTGTTTTTATTTCAAGATGTATTCGTATGCTATGATTTTGGGGTCTTACAATGAAAATTTCGGGAGCAACTAACAACTGTCTGTGCACTGGAGCACGGAAACAGTTTTCCTCTTCCTTACCTGTGGAAGAATAACAGCACAACCATGAAATGATGACACACTGAAATGTTAAGACAGCTGGGGAAATCTCCGTACCTAATTCGGGCTCCTTCATATTTGGGGGCCTATCCCTACCACTGCTCCCTATCCAGCCTGTGTGCAGTTTGAAAACTTCTTGACTTTGACTCCTAAAAGAAACAACAAAAAGGATTTTTGGTTGGTTTGTTTGTTTGACCCCTACCACAATCTACTTGGTCTGCCCATTTCTGGAAGAAACTCAAACCCAGGTTCTATCTTCCTACAGCCAATATTCCTACAATCCCCTCATCTCCATGGAAGCTGATGCCACAGATGCTGTTTTAGGTGCAATGGTTTGGTCCATCTGCAGAATTTGAACTTCAGTGGCTATATCAGGTCTCCAATGTGGTTAGGTTTTCAGTTTTTTGGTTCTTTTTTATTAGCCTATAAAATGCCAACAGTTTAAAAATTCATTATCAATGTCAAAAGAAAAAAAGAAAAGATCTGGCATCCCTGGGCATGCATTTCCGAACGGCCGAGCAGTAGCTGCCCCCCTTAAACCAGGCATGGCCTCTTCAATTTGAGGCAGTCCCTGCCACTCCTACAGCTCCCCGGCCACCACATTCCTTTTCTTTCCCTGTCTGCTTCCTGGAGGCTGATAAGCCCAAGACCTCTTATCTGCACTAATGTTACCGGTGCAGGGTGTCTGGGTTCTTGGTGTCTTGAACAAAGAATTGGACAAGATGCACAAACAAAGCAAGGAAAGGATGAAGCAACAAAAGCAGAGATTTACTGAATGAAAGTACGCTCCACAGAGTGCGAGTGGCCCAAGCATAGGGGCTCAAGAGCCCCATTACAGAATTTTCTGGGGTTTAAATACCCTCTAGAGGTTTCCACTGGTTACTTGGTGTATGCCCTATGTAAATGAAGAGGATGAAATAAAGTTACAAGTCATTTACTCAGTGTATGCCCTATGCAAATGGAGAGGATATTTCCTGTCATAGCTGAAGTGTTTCCATTTGATTTAGTTCTAGGAAGTCAGCGTGAATCAGCCTTATGTTCCCTGCCTCCAGACCCCCTTCTCCTGCCTCACATAGACCTTGATTAGTAGATCAAGTGAGCACAGCAATGTCCACCCCACATTTACACAGTTGCTGTCTGGACCTGCCGTGTCCAGTAGGGTAGCCACTAACCATACATGGCCACCGAGTGTGTGAAATGTGGCTCTTGTGACCACAAAACAGAATTTTTAATTTAAACATAAAACGATCACATAAAGTTCTATTGGACGGTTCTGGTCTAGACCATGAGAGATTATAAGATTGAAAGATTTTGTTAACCACATGCAAATGCTGGTCTGTTATTGTTTTCCTTGGGATCAGAATAGGCACCTTCATTTTAGATGCTCTTTGGGGAGCCCCTGCATACCACCAGTACTCCGTATCTTACTGACCAGAGAAGCTGGTGGGGCCAAACAACTCGAAACTCCCCAAACTCCCTTCCTCTCGTCTACTCCCAATGCCCAGGGCACGGAAAACCACTAGAAGTCATTTACATACTGAAATTTAAGAGGACCCAAAGTAACTGATCTTCAGAGCCTTCCTTCTCTACTTGCCGTCTTGCTTTCCAATCACTTGAGATCATGGAGGACACCTGTGGAAAGCATAGAGGGCTCCTGGGAGACGTCTAATACATGGGCCCTTTCTCACCTGTTGGGCTCAACTGCCGATATGTACTCTATGGACTGGCCTAGCAAACAGAGCAAACCCCTGAGAGAAAGAGACGAAAGGAATTTCTAAGAAGAGGGTATGAGTTGATCTTGGGGCTTTTCCTGAGAGAATCGGGGCCCAATTAGGATGCCAGTGGAAGGCAGGGACCCTCAGGGAGCAGAGGCAGAAGAGGGAACAGCCCCAAAGGCACAGCAGAGTGCTTAGGGAGGAGCAGAGATCAAAGGCAGACTCAAAGGCTTCCCAACGCCGCGTGAGAAGGGGCTGTGGTCTCCCGCAGCTGTGTGGTGCTTGTGCTTCCATTAAAATGCTTGGAACAGAAGCTCTTTCCCTACTGTCCCCTTCTGCTCCCAAAATACAACCAAAACCTCTCCTCTCAACTTCTTCTGGGTGATTTATAAAACAAATTACAACCAGTGAGGACTTGGAGGATGAGTTCCTAAGCACTGGTGAATATGGAAATACGGCTGGTTATCCCACGTATTGAATTTGTTTGATTAGCCACTTGTCTTACTATGTTGTCATAGGCCCACTGACAAGGAGAAAAGCAAGAATAATTCCTCCCATAGCATCTTCTATATATGCTCAGACATGATAAAACGTTCACTTCACCTATTCCCTTGATAATACTGTTACTAATATCATCCCTTTTCTACAGATGAGAAAATTGAAGCTCAGAGAAGCTAAGCAATTTGACAATGGCCCCACTGCCAACATGTGGCAGAGCCAAGACTCAAACCCAAACTCAAATCCTATGCTTATGTCATGGTCAGGACGTTATAAGAAGACAACACTGTACAAGTAAACAAAGCTATCTATCTTCTTGTGAAAAATGGAGTCATTTCTGAAAGCAAATGCCAGGAGTACACAGTGAAGGCGTCTGGATGAATTCTAAGGCATTCGGAAACACGCTAGTGTCTGGAAAGGCAGGTGGGGTCTCCGCAATGCCCTGGTGTGGACTCGGCGCCTGTACTAGCCAGTGTGCGCTGCTACTGCACCTGAAGTGCCTGAGAGCTGTCTCCCCGTTCCTGACCTCAGGGGTTCCCTGCAACTGTAAAGCAAAAGCACGTGCAGCTTCCTGAATTTCATTCCCAGAGGTTTTCATCTTTCCCTTAAAACATTCCAGAATTCAGATTGATTGAGTTCATCAATGCAGAGAAATGTTCTTTAATACTTGGCCCTCCTCACCGTGCACATCCCCGCACCCTAAGGGGAGCTTTCCCTGTGGACATGCTTGGAAGTATACCATGGATTACAGTTGATTTTGCTAGAATTCCCATGAAATTTCCTGACTCTAGGACTTGCGAAACATTGGAAATTGAAGTTCTGTTGCCAGAGGGGTTTGTGGAATTTTGTTCTGTGGAAACAGAATTATGGAATTTTAAGGCTAGAAGAAATCTTCCAAGTCCACTCCTACCAAAGGCCGGGCTGAATGCAAACCCTCGCTGACAGATGCTGTGGCTGAAACATGCTTCTCCTTCCCAGCCTGTAGCTTTCACCCCCAAACAGACACGTGTAAGAAGAAAATTCATAAATATTTCCTTTACCCAATTCTCTTCTTCATCTTTTCAGTTTATTATTTCTTTTCCTTTTGGAAACAGCAACCACGCTCAGGTTTTCTATCTGGATTTCACCCCGTCCTTGCTAAATCAAAAAGCGTATATGAAAAAGTAACTACGATGGGACTGAGAAGAAGGGGAGCAGGTAGGCTGGTGAGGACTTGCTTCCTCAGTCGGCGCTGACTGCTGCCGGCAGGAGGCTCCCACCTCCTCAGAACCCCCAGGTCTGTTGCCCGCCCTGAGCCCAAGAGGAAACAGTGGCCTGAATCTGCAGCACCGACCTCTCCCTTCGGATCGAGTGATCATGCTGTGCTGGCCTCAGCCAGAAGCTGCCTGGAGGGTGGAGCAAAGCAGATGTTGAAAGAGAGGTGGGTTTGGAATAAAATCGTTGCGCATGCCCTCCTTTCCTCGGACGCCTGTGTGGTTCAAATGTGCCTGAGACCTCCAAAAAGCAAGCACAAGACTTAGCTGCAAATCACTGTTTTTACCAAAAACTTATGAACAGTAGCAGGGAATTACTCTCGTCTTGGCTGTGCTGTGGGGAATTAAGGGACATAAGAAGGAGCACTGAAGCTGGGGTGGGGGGCAGGGGAATATGACTCCCCATAAGGCAGAGGAGACCATGACAGCTGTCATTAATAGGAGGGTGTAGGGAGAAATGCGCCGGCAATGGAGCAGCCTGCAGGGAGACTTCCTCCTCGTGGCCTCCTGGAGAACCTTGGGTGGATTTTTTCCAGGGCACTGGTGGGTTGCCTGACAGGTCCTCAAGTGAAAAGAAGAGTCAACCTTTCCTTTTTGGCTCCCAAAACATAAACTAGGGTGACCCTATGGAGCAATAAACTACAGCTCAATATATAGAGAGTCATTCGAAAAATTACAGACTTCCAAAGACAGAATTGTCTCCTGAAGCCATAGTGACCTCCCATTGTCTCAAATGTCCACACAGAAAGTCATTGTGTGGGGAAGCGAAGAACAGGTGGAGTGCAGAGGATCTGGGAGCTGTGGAAATACTCTGTGTGATACCATGATGGTGGACATGTGTCATTATACATTTGCCCAAGCCCACAGCATGTATGGCACCGCGAGGAAACCCTCAGGGAAACTATGGACTCTGGGTGATGATGGTGTGTCAATCGGTAGGTTCGTCCATTATAACAATTGCTCCACTCTGGTAGGGGATGTTGATAATGGGGGAGGCTGTGTATGTGTCAGGCAGAAAACACATAAGAAATCTCTATCTTCCTCTCAATTTTGCTCTGAACTTAAACTCTAAAAAAATTAAGTCTTAAAAAGTCAATCTGAAAAGCAGGTAAGAGAAGGAATTCCTTGGTCAGTTATGGGCTTCAATTGGTTGACCTGTGAGTTTCTTACATAAATTAGAGAATACTGGAGCTAGAGAAGTACATCTTAGAAGGTAATCCTTCCAGACATGTTGTTCTAAAACTTTGATCTGCTTTCTTTCTAAACAACTAGACTTCCTTCTCTTGAGCTTGCTAAAAGATGTGTCCCCTCCCTACCCTGCTCACCAAACTCTATGATGAACTGGTCAGCCCTGAAGGAAAACTATAAAGAATAAAATGAATGACTTCATACGGGACTGGCCTTTGCATTCATGTCCAGAGCACAGAGGAATCCAATCACCAGGAACTTGTCAACTGACAGCAAAACTTAGACTCAGTTTCACAAAAATGTCTAAAAGCTATGTTATACAAGGTTTTGGGCAATAAGTGTATCCTCTGAAAATCTCAAAGTGAGGATGTAGAAAAGTTGGAATTCACATACACTGCTGACCTGACATGGATGTAAAATGGTACAGCAACTTAGAAAACAGTTTGACAGTTCCACAAAATATTAAGCACAGAGTTACTATGGCCAACAATGACCCAACAATTCCACTCCTAAAGTCTTTGAACCACTTATCATTTTCCAAAATTCTTCCATGTATTTGTTTGGTAGCTTGCTGTCTCTGTCATCCACCAAAACTTATCTGTCCAGTAGAAAGGCCACCAGCCACACTCCAAGTGTTCAGCAGCCACATGTGGCAGTGGCTACTGGATTGGACAGCACAGTACAATCATCACTGTCAGAATGTCCTGTGGGATAGCGCTGCACTGGCATGCAAGCTCCATTCAAGCAGGCTCCTTATTTGTCTTGGTCGCTGCTATTTCTCCAGCATCCAGAACAGTGACTGACATACAGTAGGCTCAATAAAGGGTAAGTAATGAATGAATGAGTTGAATGAATGAACTGAAGTTGAATGAATGAATGGCACTTGGGTGGACAACACTGGAAAACGAGGTGAAGGAATGCTGGAACAATCCGAACAGGAGTGAAAATGGAAGCAAGAAAATAAAGTATTTGTTTAGGTTCTTCTCCTCATCTCTTTACTCCAATATTTTATAATTTAATCATGATAGTCTTAAGAGAATATTTTAATTATTGGATCTTAGTGTCTTTCCTAGTATTCTCCTATTGGAGAATGTGTTGACTAACATAATTTGACAAATGACATACCATTGTGAAAATGTATAGAATGTTGTGAATTTTTTAGTTTGCCATTAATTTCATTTCCAATTCCAATAGGGAGTACTATTGACATGGTAGAAATTTAGGTTGATGAAGAGCCTTTGACTCCTAGAGAATTTTTTAATAATCATTCATTTTTATCAAACTTCAGAGGTCATTCTTATTTTATAGCTTTTTTCTGTAAATAATACTGAGTTCTAAAAATAGAAATTAAAAGATAAAAATCATATATTCAATAAACAGGTGACATTTCATTGTTTTCCTACTTTGTTCTTGTTTTTTGTTTTCATTTGGTTTGGTTTGTTTATATTGGGTGTTGAGACTGAAAACTTTTACTTAAGGTCTGATTGTAACTTTGCTACCATCTTCTGGCAAAATAATGACCATCTTAGGATCTTTGACTAGAATGAGTTTCCACAATTTTGTTTATTTCATGTTATAAACTGCTTTCACTTGCATCCTACTGCAGCTAGAGCAAAAGCTATTAAAAGGCAAAGATAGCAGAGGAAAACAAGACCACAGAATCTCTGTTCTCTAATACCTGAAGAAATGCAAAATTTTAAATGTTTGAATACCCAATATACAACAGTGGCAACTAAAACAAAATGGCAGCCAGGGGGAAAAACAAGCAGAAAATTCAGAAGGAAAATTTTTGTTTGTTTGTAGAGATGGGGTTTCACCATGTTGCCCAGGCTGGTCTCAAACTCCTAGGCTCAAGTGATCCCTCCCACCTTGACCTCCCAAAGTACTGGGATTACAGGCGTGTGCCCTATGCCTGGCCAGAAGGAAAAATTCTAAGGAAAACCCTCAGTGATCCCCCCATCATAGCCTTGCCAGAGGCAGAAGGCAGAAGTGTTGTCCGGTCTCCTCCAGGGAACTGGGCTGAGTTGAGGGAACAGGTGAAGCCCATCAGGGTGGCTGGCACCCAGCAATGGCTGGGTGGAGTGAGGCCCAGCAGGACATGTCAATGGCTCCGAAGAAAATAAAAGCCCAGGACCCCCACCAATGACTGCACTTGATCCCCAAAGAGCTGATCCTGCCTACTACACGTACCTCCTCTCCACAAAGAACATGGACTGCGGGTGTACAGAAAATGAAGGTAAAGCAACAACTACCCATCCAACCATCATTCAGAGAGTTAAGACTAATGGGTCCTAAATGAGATAGGGAGAATGTCCAGGAGAATTTACCCACCCTATATAAGAGGAACTAGGCTTGGACAGAATTGTCCACATTAAACATGATATGCAGAGAAATGCCACAATGGAATACTAAAGTAATAAATGTGAGTAAGCTATAACCACACACAACAGCATGGACAGACCCCACACACAACAGCATGGACGGACGCCACACACAACAGCATGGACGGACCCCACGCACAACAGCATGGACGGACCCCACGCACAACAGCATGGACGGACCCCACGCACAACAGCATGGACGGACGCCACGCACAACAGCATGGACGGACCCCACGCACAACAGCATGGACGGACCCCACGCACAACAGCATGGACGGACCCCACGCACAACAGCATGGACGGACCTCACGCACAACAGCATGGACGGACCTCATGCACAACAGCATGGATGGACCTCATGCACAAAATGCTGATGAAAGAAGTTCAGTGCAAAAGGATGCATCCTAAAAATTCTATTTAGATATCATGCCATGAGAAGTCAGAATCCTCACGCCTCTTGTAGGGGGTAGATGTGAGCAGGGCATGTCTGTCTCTAGTGAACAGCACATTACATCTCTCCCAACTCCTGACAATTTTACCCCAATTGCCTTCTTATTGACATTCCATATTTTTTTTAACTCTTGGTGCATATCAATTCTGTAACAAACTCTTTACATATTGAAAATAATACAATATGGTATCATGCTATCCATAAGTCATTCACTGCAAAAAACGCCTCATTGTGCAGCGATCATTCCTCAGAAAGACATTTTTGAGGGTAGTGATGGCAGTTCATCAGTGGAGTTCAGTGGTCTCCCCCCATGAATTTGCTAGATCCTATCTCTCAAAATTGCTTCATCTGAGGTCCCGTTAGTGACCCCACAGTGAACCAGGGCACACACCAAGGTCGCTTCCACCTTTGTCTAACCATGAGATATTGCTGTGACTTACCCACTCTGGTCCAAGTTCTTAGTTACAGACAAGACAATCCAATCCAGTTGGTTAAAGTACAAACAGATTTGTTAGTGGGTACATGGAGCTCACAGAATCAATACAAGGGCTAAAAGGAAGACTGAACTTCCAAGAATGAGTGCCAAACCACACTGAACCAACAAGGAAGCTGCTACCCCTCATCAACAGGCAATGCAGAATCAGAAAGCTACTGCTCCTGTTAGCCAAGAACACAGAATCAGAAAGCTGCCCAGGCTGGGCACAGTGGCTCACGCCTGTAATCCCAGCACTTTGGGAGGCTGAGGTGGGCAGATCACCTGAGGTCAGGAGTTCGAGACTAGCCTGGTCAACATGGTGAAACCCCGTCTCTACTAAAAATACAACAATTAGCCGGGCATGGTGGTGCACACCTGTAGTCCCAGCTACTAGGGAGGCTGACGCAGGAGAATCGCTTGAACCCGGGAGGTGGAGGTTGCAGTGAGCCGAGATCACACTACTGCCCTCCAGCCTAGGCAAAAGAGCGAGACCCTATCTCAAAAACGAAAAAAAAAGAAAGCAAGCTGCCACAGACTGCTTGACTCACTGGTGCTATACCCACAGCACCGGCACGGAGGCTATTGACATCAGTGACCTGCCAGCCGCACAGTTGCTTCTTAAACTGTTTGCTCACAGTTTTCTGGAAGACAGTGCTTTCCAAACCTAAAGATGCCTACAAATCACCTGGGGTTCTTGTTAAAATCATAGATTCTGCTTCAGGAAATCTGAGGTGGGGCCTGAGTTCTACATTTCTAATGAGCTCCCAGGTAAGACAGATGCCGCTGCTCTCATTCTTTAAGGAACAACACTAGGAGACATCAGCCGAATGAAATCAAGCCCTATAACCCCATTCACCTCAATCCCACCAGTGTTCCAAGCCCCTGGGGCATCTGTCATTTGGTCTCTCACCCCTCACACTACCCTGGATACCGCTAACTAACCCTTGAAAACTACACCAGCGAAATCTTACAGACTCCACCTTGGCAAAACTATCAAAGTTGTCACCAGTAATAGGACAAATAAACATCATGTACCTCCTGATAAGATGTACTGAGAAGCCTATATCGCTTCTGTGGTATCTCTGTCAAAAATGCATAACCAGAATTTAATCATCAGCATACATCAGACAACCCAAGCTGAGAGACATCCTACAAAATAAACGACACGTACGTTTCCAAAATGTCAAGGTCAAGAAAGAGTAAGTACTTCAATTCAGAGGAAACAGAGACATGACCAAACACACACACACACACACACACACACACACACAATGGGAGATTCTGGATTGGATCTGAGACCAAAAATGAGGATACTGGTGGGACAGTTGTAAAATCAGTACATTAGATAATCATATCAATGTTAGTTTCCTGCATTTGATAATTGTACTGTGGTTACATAAGATATTAACAATTTGAGTGAAGTAAGAATTTGAGTGAAGTACTTACAGAAATTCTTTGTACTGTTTCTACACTTTTCTTTAAAGTCTGAAGTTACTGCAAAACAAAAAGAACTTGGCCGGGTGCGGTGACTCACACATGTAATTCCAGCACTTTGAGAGGCTGAGGCAGGTGGATCGCCTGAGCCCGGGAGTTTGAGGCAGGTGGATCGCCTGAGCCCAGCCTGGCCAACACGGCGAAATCCCTACTAAAAATACAAAAATTAGCCAAGCATGGTGGCACACACCTGTAATCCCAGCTACTCTGGAGTTTGAGGCAGGAGAATCGCTTGAACCCGGGAGGCACAGTCCGCGCCAGCAGACTGGACCCACGAAGCCTCCATGCATATAGTATTAGCCTGCACTAACACTAACACTAACACTAACCAACACTACCACATGTGCACTAACACTGCCAGATAACCTTTCTTCATGTCACTGGTAAACTCACAATCCCACTGTTGAAGAAATCAAGTTTGGATTGTGTTTGGAATTGTGCTTTTAGAGATACTTCACTGATGGCATTCCAATTGGCCGTGCTCGGCTAATTGTTAGAGTTGACTATTTATGAAGGACTGAAGATAAATTCTAGAAAATATAGCCTCACTTTATTTTATATAAAAGTTAAAAAATTAATATCCTGGCTGAGCACGGTGGCTCACACCTGTAATCCTAACGCTTTGGGAGGCCAAGGCTGGGGGATTGCTTGAGCCCAGGAGCTCAAAACCAGTCCAGGCAACATAGCAAGACCCCATCTCTACAAAAAGTAAAAACAAAAAAATAGTCATGGTGGCATGCATCTGTAGTCCCAGCTACTTGGGAGGCTGAAGAGGGGAATCAGTTGAGCCTGGGAGTTCAAGGCTATAACGAGCTATGACCAAACCCCACTGCACTCCAGTCTGGGTGACAGAGTGAGACCTTGTTTCAAAAACTAAAATAAAACAAAGTATCTTTCCCCACCCCTGCTAATATTTCCCTGTGAGCTGGTTTATTTACTACATATATTATTAAAACAAAACAGAAACAGTTTAGATACACATTATCCCCTGTGACTGTCATCAACTCAGTCTAGATAAGTTTTAACAAGAAACAAGTTCATTTATCACATTAAAAACTAAATATTGGTATATATCATGTTGTTCAAAACTATGTGTAGGCATTTAATGTGGGTATTTCAATGGCTATTTCCACCATTTCACTCTTTGTTTATACTTACAATGAACATTGTGTAGTTTTTACTTTTTCTTCACGTTTGTTGATGTATTAAAATATTATTATTCTTTGCTGGCCGGGCGCAGTGGCTCAAGCCTGTAATCCCAGCACTTTGGGAGGCCGAGACTGGCGGATCGCAAGGTCAGATCGAGACCATCCTGGCTAACATGGTGAAACATCCTGGCTAACATGGTGAAACCCCATCTCTACTAAAAAATACAAAAAACTAGCCAGGCGAGGTGGCGGGCGCCTGTGGTCCCAGTTACTCGGGAGGCCGAGGCAGGAGAATGGCATGAACCCGGGAGGTGGAGCTTGCAGTGAGCTGAGATCCAGCCACTGCACTCCAGCCTGGGCGACAGAGCAAAACTCCGTCTCAAAAAAAATTTAAAAAAAAATATTATTTGCTAAACCTAATAATAAAACATTAAGACTTGTATTTTATATTTT